CCTCTTGAGTTTAACTCGTTCCATTCCAGCTATCCTTAGGATATCTAGCAGCCTGCGTTTATCCATGTCCCGACGAGCTTCATTCTCCTTTACTAGCGGCTCTTCCATGTTGAGGATCAAAAGTGTCTTATGGACACAAGATTGGCCTCGCTCTGTTGCTTTTTGTGACCTAAGTCACTCACTGATATTCTTTATTTGACCATCTAGTTCATATCGTGAACCCACTGGGTTTACTCGAGCCTTTGCCAGTAGCTTCAACCTTTAAGGTTTNGAGATGAACTGACACTGTTCGGCCTCAGAAAATTGTGAGTAGCGAGAGAGGAAATCAGCCTGCGGGATTGTCTTTCCTGGACGATGTTGGATGTCGTAGTTATATGCGGCTAGAGCGATACTCCACCTCTGTAGCATAGCAGCAGTGGACATTGCGATGGATATGTTTGGGTTGAACAAGAACTGTAGCGCTTGGTGATCAGTGATGATAGTAAACCGCAATCCGAAAAGGTACTTGTGCAATCGTCGAACAGCCCGAAATACAGCTAACGCTTCTTTTTGAGTCTGTGAGTATCCCTTTTCTGCCGCATTGAGTAGACGTGAAATGCAGATCGCTGGGTAACCAATTTGTTCTAATTCAGCACCGATTCTGACGTCGGACGCATCAGTGGTGGATGTAGTCGGTTTTGAAGGTGAAAACGGGGCCAGAACAAGACGATCAGTAACGCAGTGAATTAAACCACGTAAGATATCTTCACACTCCACCGACCAATCCCAAGCGTCAGAACACTGAGCACGGAAAAGCGGCTGCGCCCTTGTAGCAAAGTTCGGGATAAATCGGGAATAGTACTGTAGGCATCCCATCACGGATCTCAAATGCGTTTGATCCTTTGGAAGTTCGATGTTAGTCAATGGTTTGAAACGTGTCTGATCGGGACGGTATCCACGGGAATCAACTGTGAATCCTAGAAACTCCAACTCACTCCAAACACACACTTGGACGGCTTGATAGCCACGTTTCTCGCGGCAACTCGTTCCAGTAGCTGCGTCAGACGGGCATCGTGTTCTTTCTTATTAATGCCGAAAATGAGGACGTCATCTTGATATGCAAGCACACCGTCGAGTCCTTTGATTACAGTCTATTACCGATTGAAAGAGGCCAGACGGCACATGCAATCCGAATGGGAGAAAATTGTACTGATACATTCCCCACGGCGTGTTGATTGTTGTCAAGTGGCGAGATTCGACATCGAGTGGAATCTGTAGGTATGCGTCCGCCAAATCGATCTTGGAAAAATACTGGCACCCATGAAATGACTTCATGAAATCCTCTGGTTCCATGGTGGTCGCTGCACATCTCCGCAATCTGGGATTCAACTTCAGTCGATAGTCTCCACAGATCCGTGGAGTCCTCCCATCACTCGAAGGCCCAGAACAGACGGACTGTGGGCTGATACCATGAATCGGATTGTGATTGATACGCCGGATTCAGATTGAACGCACAATATCGCCAAGTAATTGCAACTAATGGCCAGTAACCCCATGAATGCGCACAGAAGTCGGGGCTAGAACAGCATTGGGACAAATAGCAGTGAGTGTTGATTTCGGTAGGATAGATTCGCTGCTTCTTATGTCCGTGATGAATCAATGCCTCACACCAGACTCAAACCTTAGTGGGGCGAACACGAACTGACCGTTGGGTTCATTGGTCTGCAGCGTGTAGATCGGGCTTGAGTTCTCATCTACCGTTGGCATATGGGAGTCGATGAGGTTGCACTTTGGCATTCGGCATACCTTGCGGATATGGCCCAACTCACCGCATGCATGGCAAGTGGCATTACGGAATCGACAAGTCAAACGAAGATGGTATTCACTACATGAAAAGCAGCGGTTGGTTGCAGCCTTCGGTTGTGTTCGATTTGAACTGGGTACTTGAGGAACCCTGGGTGAATTATGAACATTGGGTGCATCAAGTAATGGTTTCGTTGATTGCCGATGGAATAACCCAGGAGTATTCTTCTTTTTTTTCTTATTAATATTATTATTATCATTCCCGCGTTCAACACCATGGGGCGTTGGGAGCCGACCCGAGTATATCCTGTCACCAATCTCTCACTTTCGAGTGTTTCTCGCATTATTGTCTAGCCGGTGGGTTTTCTTCTTTTATCATTATAAGTATGCTTTTCTGGGCGATGAGGGATAAAAATCCAGCTGCCTTGCTTGGATGAGGGTTGTGTCTAGTGGTGGATGGGTGTTATATCACCTGGGTGAGTTACCTTAGTAATACATATCGAGTGATCAACCGTCTGTTCTCCGACCTTGTTTGCAGAATACAGCTCTGGCATCAGCGAGGACAGAGTAAAAGTAAAAGATTCGGGGGTCACACATCCACATCACCTAATCTGCAAACATACTCAATGTACGACAATCTAAGGCCGTTGCTCAGATGCCCCAGGTTGAGGTCGCACCGATTGCCGGTAACGGTATGTCGAACGGAGCACCAGGGTACTGTTAGGATATGTGTTCCTGTGGTAATCGGAATAGTATTGAAATTAGGAATATGAGAATCCGTGCTGTACTGCTCAAAACTGAATTGGCTCCAACCCGAACTGCGGACACCAATGAAATACACGAGGAACTGATAGCAGCAAATGCTTTTGTTTATTGATGGAATTAGGTCATGTTTTATAGAATGTATTAGTCCATACCATTGATTGAACGAGCATCCTCTAATCACGTAACCGTTTGCACCGACGTATCATATGTGCTAACTCGGATGTCATGTTCGCCCGGTGTACCATTGATCGAGCTTCGAGAACGGTGATTGAATGACATGAAACTGTACCCAGTCGTGCATGGATTGTGGTCACGGAAGTCTGGATCACCGTATTATTTCAATTAGCTTTTTGCACGACTCTTTACTGTTAGGCTTGAATACTCTCTTTGTCAGTGAGTTCCACAGTCGACATACACGTAACGATATATAGTGGTCTCAGTCTGAGACGCTGCCTCTCCAATTTCATGGAGTGGCCGCGCAGTGCTGACAGAGGGATCATCGTGAAAAGATGCCCGTTAGGGCGCCCTTGAACGTTGATTGTGTCCCTCAGGAGGATCAGGTTGCCCCTTACCTTCCTATACTCCATGCTGTACAAGTTGAGCGAACGGAGTCCATCCGGATAGGGTGTGTGTGACAAGCCCTGTAATCGTTTCGTACCTTTCCGCTCTGCCCGCTGAATGGCGTTGACACCCCTCCTAAGCAGCGATGGGCACGCCTGGATGTTGATCTCCAAATGTGGCCGAATGACGGCAGCGAAAATCTTGGGAAAGACTCTGGTGTGAATTTCCCCAGGAGTCGGCTTAGTTGATTGAGTTTAAACATCGCCCTCCGGGCCAGTGTGTTGCAGTTAGTTTGCTAGGACAGATCATCGGTAATGACTCTGCCCAGGTCCCTTTCGTGCCTGACCCTGTGCAATGTTCTACCGTCCAGAAAGTAGTCATTTGCACAATGCCCTGCAATGTGTATAACATTGCATTTGTCAAGGTTGAACGGCAACCCATTTGCGACCAACCAGGTCAGAAGGCTGTGTATGTCCTCTTGCAGGGTGTGCTTATCTAACGGGCTTTGAATCTCCCGGCAGATCTTAATGTCGTCTGCTTAGATCAGCAGGTTTGATTTTACGCCGACGGGGAGATCGCACAGATAGTCAGAGACCCAAGCTCTCATGGTCTCTGGGAATCACAGGTTGGCCAACTTCTCTATCAGCAGAGAGTGATGAACGCTATCAAAGGCCCTGGAATAGTCCAGCAAGGCTACGTCCAGTTGCAACTCTCTGTCCGCAACACTCGTATAAAACTCCATAGTATCAATGAATTGGGTTTGACAGGATCGTTTCCCACGGAACCCGTGCTGGGCATCGTGCAAGCAGCGATCCTGCTCGTCAAATTCATTGATTTTGTCGTCAGTGTGTCCCTCCATTACCTTTGAGACCACCGAGAGCAGGGTAGCGGACAGTAGTAGTTTGGTAAGTTTCGGTCCCCCGACTTGAATATAGGAGAAATCACGCACGTTTTCCACTCGTCCGGGACCAGGTCTACTCTCAAAGAAATGTTGATTAGTCTGCTTAGGGGTAGTGCTAACTGCTCTGAACACTGCTGCAGTATGGGTGGTATCTCATCATGTCCCGGTGACGTTTTAGCTACGAGACTTTCCAGTTTTAGTGCGACCTGTGCAGAGGAGAACGATACAAGTTCCCTGAATCTGCTGGGTATGGAGTCTACTTCGGGGAGACCGCTTCCGTCTGTCCGACTAACAAGTTCAGGGCTGAATACCGTGGAGTAGTACTCAGCCAGGGTGTTAGCTGCAGCCTGGTTGCCATCTATATGTGATCCATCCGCACGACGTATATCTGTGATCACGGCTTTAGCTTGTGCCACTATGGAGATATTCCTATAGAAACTCCTCGGGTCCGCAATGACCCGGTTTAAGAACTTCCTCTGTTGCTCGCTGGTGTCTTGCTTTGTTTGCTGGTTACACTGGTTGTGCAATTAACCGTAGACCTCCTACTCATGGGCGCTTTGTGACTTTTGGTATCGGTTCCACGCGCATCTTTTCCGTGCCAAGGTCCTAATTTTACCGCGACGCAGTCGCTTTATCGGTTTGAATGGTCTAACATGTGTCCGTGGTACAAACCTACACATGACCTCGATGATTGTCCCCCTCACTACGCTCCAATGCTCGTTGACGCAAGATGGTCAAGGGGTCATGGGGCTCAATCCAGGAAGGCTCACATGCCGGGAATGTGGGCCTTGCTTAGGTTACAACAAGTGAACCTTGTCGACCGTTTCCGTTCCGTTGTGTGTACGAATATGAATCGTATGGCACCATGGTCGCCGCCTCCCAGTGATGTAGAAACCTCTAGTTTGGTCGGCCATATGGGGTTCGTTGGTAAGAACCCAATCTAGCGCCAAGGGTCTCGAGTTCCGTCGCCACCGGGTTGCTTATCGGACGTGATCGTGCCACCCTAGGTCTATCACCGTGTCAAACAAGACTGAGGTTATGGACCCAGATCCCGCTTGGCAGGTCAACGTACTAAAGCAGATCGCCGGTAAATTGAAATCCCCCATTATCAGAACGTGGTGATAGTTCAACCTCACGACGTGCTTTAGTGCGTCGATAATGGCAGAGTTCGTCCACTGTGAACAATTCGGTTGCCCATAGAGAACACCTAACAGGCCTTGCCTTTTGCCGTCCAGTTATATGGCTTCCCAGACGCCCTCCGGTACCCTTTTTAGTACAGGATCCATGATTATCACAGACCTCAGTTTTCTGCTGATGTAAGCAGAGCACCGTCCACCTATGCCGTCTGCTCTATCCTGTCGCAGGATGTCTAGCCCAGGTCAGGTCACAGGAATTGTGGCTCGAGCCAATATGTGTCCAGCTTCTTGCACGCCAAGCTCAGTTTTCTCGTGGTGCCTCGACTGCCAAGTGTTGCTTTAACCCAGCTTATCTGCAGTAGCTGGATGCGGCTACGATTCATCCCGGTCACCGGTATTCAATGCTGGAATTTAGAAATGTTTATTCACAATTTGGGAAAACGGCCTAGTGTGGAGTCGGTCTAGTTTACAACTGCGTGAGTTGCATTTATGGTCAACATAATGAAACAGTGACAATGGATAAAATACTAAGAATGAAGAAAGAAAGAAAATACTTTCTCCGAGGTGTATGCATAGCAGAAATCCGTCTCTAACAAGCTGTCGCAGCTCACTCACTCACCCAAATGACGGTTAGCCACCATCTTGCGTTCACACTTCGAATCAGTCTGATTTCGGCCGTGCCCACATAAGGAAAAACAGATAATCTTATATGATACATTAGCCTCTTATGGTACCAACACGAAAGAAGACTAGAGTCTCTTAGCCTACTCTTGATTGCCCTCTCCCGTGATTGCGTGTCATCTTCTTTATACCACCTAACGTGTTTGCACCTACAGCCACGAACACTTTCAATCATACTCAACACATACACACATCTATACCATCCATACATGCATGAAGTCTTGTGCATATCTTAATGTATACCAATTTACATCCTTACTGGTCCCAGGACGAGAATGTCAGTACGACGCTGAGTGCTTGGCAGACGTTCTGACTATAGGCACGATATGTCATAAACAGGCTACGTGTATTCCAATCAAATCTCAAATGGTTACTACCTAGGGTTCAAGTCTCTCATTCGGTGGAATAGAGAGATATGGTTTTCCAGGCTGGATCAGTTGGAGGCTGGTGGAGGAGTATTCATGGGACCCTGATCCCAACAACAGTCCAGGAATCATTCGTACCAGATCATCATTCTTCATACAGCGCAAGAATAGATGCAGGGACAAGAGTCAGACTCGGGACGGGGCACCCTTCGATCGAGAGAGGTTAGGTTAACTCGGCAAACTCTTTAGGTAATGGGGTGTGGGGTGCCAGACAGGACACAGAACTTGCGGCAGAGCCAGGATGAGTCCAGTTTATTGCACCAGTTGAGGTCAAGTTGGGCAACACGGTGCTTTGACAGTCGTTTGTGTTCCAAATGTTTCTAAGGTTATACCTGCAAAAGGATTACACTGTTGACGAACCCATTGGTCCGAACGATATCAGAGATAGTTTCAGGGACAATGCGACAGCTTAAATCCCTCCCGCTCAGGTGACCCAGAAAAGAAAAGGACTGTTATAATGGAAAGTTACTTATCCTAAGAATTCGCCATGTAGAAGGGGAATGGGCACCTTGGAAATTAAATTAAATGAGGAGCAAAGATAAGTTGCAAGGGGGCCGGATGCATGGCTGCTAGCGTGATCCATTTGATGCTGTTTCTAGGGATATTCGGGACACAGTGTGTCCAAAGATGCATCGAGCATCTCCTTCAGGGCGTGCACGCTGCCAAAGTTGACTATCTCATTTGTCAGCCTGTTCCAGCTGTTGATGGTAGGCAGCGAGAAGAAGCTGACCCTGATCGTTCGATACACCCTTGGTTTTTTCAGTTTGAGGCTATGACTACGCCTTGTCTGGACCTCGTCTAGCTCAAAGAGGTATCTCATATTTTACGAATAACCTTTGAGGATTCTAAAGGTTTCAATTAGATCACCTCTAAGCCTGTGACGCTCCAGGGAGAACAGACCCAGTGCTCGCAGCCTTTCAGTGTATCTTAGTTTCCTTAGGAGCGGAAAAATCCACGTAAACGGCGTTGCACCTTCTCCAGGACCAGTTTGTCCCGCACTGATACTGGTGCCGGCGCGTGGACACAGTACTCTAAGTGGGGACGTACAAAAGCTTGGTACAAAGGACCAGGACCTCTGGGTCTCTAGAGGATACCGTTCTGCGCAGCCTATACAGTGCTGCATTTGGTCTTTGAACAGCTACGGGGCACTGGCGTGAGGATGAGAACGTGGAATTTACGGTAATCCCTAGATCCCTCACCTCGGTGCATAGCTTGTAAATTCCCCAAGGTACCGAGGATTACCCACCGGCTCTCCCGTGCGCTTGCTACTGTTCAGAGGCAGGCTCCATTCTGTGGTCCATGCTTTTACTCTGTTCAGGTCCCTTTGCAACCCTTCGTTGTCGGGAGAAGGTAATAGCTTGGCATCATCGGCAAATAAGAACAGTGGGTTTACCACAAACCGTGCCAAGTCGCTGATAAAAACCAAGAACAACAACGGTCTAAGGACGGAGCCTTGAGGCACTCCGCTGTACACTTCGCCTCTCTCAGAAAGTTTGCTGTTTACCCCGACTTGAAAGGTGCGACCTACTAAATAACTTCGAAGCCAAGTTCGGAGTTCGGGGTGCACTCCTAACTGTGACAATTTCATCAGGAGTAGTCCATGACTTACTGAGTCGAAGGCCTTCCTAAAATCTAGGTAACACACTTCGACATGTTCACCCCTGTCAAGTCTGTCCGTCACTATATCCAGGTTGGCTAACAGATTTGCTAGGTAGGATCTACCCTGTTTGAATTCATGCTGAGCTTCCGTCAGTAAGATGTTCGCTGTAAAATAACTAGTCTTTTTTTCACGAATCACTCTCCATAATCTTTAGTACTACTGAAAGCAAGCTCACTGACCTATAGTTTGAGGCGGTATCCCTTTCGCCCCCCCCCCCTTATAGATAGGGGTGACCACGGCCGCTTTCCAGTCACTTAGGCGGGTGGCTGTTTCGAGTGACTCAGTGAATATGCCGGCTAATGGACGTGCTAAAATACTCTTTAACGGTTTCAGGACCGCCGACTGTATGTCATCCGGACCTGCAGAATTGTTTTTGCCTAATACTTCGATAATGTTTCTAATTCCTGTGGCTCGATTAGGAGCTTATCCATAAGGCACTCTATCGTGATACTGTGAGCCGGCAGGGTACTGCCAGGGTCCACAGTGTACGACTCTTGGAACTGTTGTTGTAGAGTGGAAACCTTTTTCAAGATAGCGGTTAGATTATAGATGGTACTAAACGCTTACGTCATGGAAAACCGTTGTCCAACACTTAATATGTGCATTTTAAAAGCAATCACTGTACTGCAGCTTACCACTGACAACGGACTTACCAGTGACAGCGGACTTACCGCTGCCAAGATTGCGAAAAATTGCATATCGAAGTGTTGGAAGCCAAGGAAACTGGCCGACAACACACAAATCTGGACGCGCGATTGGCAGGAGCCACAATTCGTCCTGTGAGAACCGAAATGAACTGTCATGTCCTGCCCTGAACTGAACCTGACCTTGAGCGCGCGTGCTTCGAATTTCGGAGTGGACCGTTCCGCTGTCGAATTAGGCCAGCAATAAGAGGAGAAAACACTCAAGAGTCCAATTTCCTGTTGGGAAATTAGCGGAAGCGCGATTTGTACCGAGCCTCCCGCGCTCGAGATCGGAACTCTGAATCTGGGAGCCACAACTGAGCGGAACCCGGGTGGCAGGACCAAC